TGATAAAATAGACAAAGATGAGGACAATAGTCCGAATAATACATAATACCTCATCTCAGAAATATAGACAGATACTGAAAGGCCGAAACGTTGTGATAAATATGATGAGGACAAAGCGAATAATGAGTGGAAATATAGACAGATACTGAAAGGCCGAAACGTTGTAATAAATATGGCGACAAAGATGAGGACAATGTCCGAATAATAAAAACATGCCTCATCTCAGAAATATGGACAGATAGAAAGGCCGAAACTTTGTGATAAATATGGCGACAAAGATGAGGATAATAGTCCGAATAATGTAAATAGTGTACATAATACCACATCTCAGAAATATAGACAGATGCTGAAAGGCCGAAACGTTGTGATAAATATGGCGACAAAGATGAGGACAATAGTCCGAATAATGTAAATAGTGTACATAATACCGCATCACAGAAATATCAGATACTGAAAGGCCGAAACGTTGTGATAAATATGGCGACAAAGATGAGGACAATAGTCGAATAATGACCTCATCTCAGAAATATAGACAGATACTGAAAGGCCGAAACGTTGTGATAAATATGGTGACAAAGATGAGGACAATAGTCCGAATAATGTAAATAGTGTACATAATACCACATCTCAGAAATATAGACAGATACTGAAAGGCCGAAACGTTGTGATAAATATGGCGACAAAGATGAGGACAATAGTCCGAATAATGTAAATAGTGTACATAATACCTCATCTCAGAAATATAGACAGATACTGAAAGGCCGAAACGACAAAGATGAGGACAATAGTCCGAATAATCTGTACATAAGACCTCATCTCAGAAATATAGACAGATACTGAAAGGCCGAAACGTTGTGATAAATATGGTGACAAAGATGAGGACAATAGTCCGAATAATTTAAATAGTGTACATAATACTACATCTCAGAAATATAGACAGATACTGAAAGGGAAACGTTGTGATAAATATGGTGACAAAATGAGGACAATGTGAATAATGTAAATAGTGTACATAATACCACATCTCAGAAATATAGACAGAACTGAGCCGAAACGTTGTGATAAATATGGCGACAAAGATGAGGACAATAGTCCGAATAATGTAAATAGTGTACATAAGACCTCATCTCAGAAATATAGACAGATACTGAAAGGCCGAAACGTTGTGATAAATATGGTGACAAAGATGAGGGACAATACCGAATAATGTAAATAGTGTACATAATACCGCATCTCGGAAATATAGACAGATACTGAAAGGCCGAAACGTTGTGATAAATATGGCGACAAAGATGAGGACAATAGTCCGAATAATGTAAATAGTGTACATAAGACCTCATCTCAGAAATATAGACAGATACTGAAAGGCCGAAACGTTGTGATAAATATGACAAAGATGAGTACAATGGTCGAAGATGAGGTACATAATACCTCATCTCAGAAAATATAGACTGATTCTGAAAGGCCGAAACGTTGTGATGAATATGGCGACAAAAGATGAGGACAATAGTCGGGAATAATGTAAAAGTGTATAGACCTCATCTCAGAAATATAGACAGATACTGAAAGGCCGAAACGTTGTGATAAATATGGCGACAAAGATGAGGACAATACTCCGAATAATGTAAATAGTGTACATAATACCACATCTCAGAAATATAGACAGATACTGAAAGGCCGAAACGTTGTGATAAATATGGCGACAAAGATGAGTACAATAGTCCGAATAATGTAAATAGTCATAAGACCTCATCTCAGAAATATAGACAGATACTGAAAAGCCTGAAACGTTGTGATAAATATGGTGACAAAGATGAGGACAATAGTCCGAATAATGTAAATAATGTACATAATACTGCATCTCAGAAATATAGACAGATACTGAAAGGCCGAAACGTTGTGATAAATATGGCGACAAAGATGAGGACAATAGTCCGAATAATGTAAATAGTGTACATAATACCGCATCTCAGAAATATAGACAGATACTGAAAGGCCGAAACGTTGTGATAAATATGGTGACAAAGATGAGGACAATAGTCCGAATAATTGAAATAGTGTAATACACATCTCAGAAATATAGAATGAAAGGCCGAAACGTTGTGATAAATATGGTGACAAAGATGAGGACAATGGTCGAATCTCAGTGTACATAATACCAATCTCAGAAATATAGACAGATACTGAAAGGCCGAAACGTTGTGATAAATATGGCGACAAAGATGAGTACAATAGTCCGAATAATGTAAATATACATAATACCTCATCTCAGAAATATAGACAGAATATGAAAGGCCGAAACGTTTGTGATAAATATGGCGACAAAAGATGAGGACAATAGTCCGAATAATGTAAATAGTGTACATAAGACCTCATCTCAGAAATATAGACAGATACTGAAAGGCCGAAACGTTGTGATAAATATGGTGACAAAGATGAGGACAATAGTCCGAATAATTTAAATAGTGTACATAATACTACATCTCAGAAATATAGACAGATACTGAAAGGCCGAAACGTTGTGATAAATATGGCGACAAAGATGAGGACAATAGTCCGAATAATGTAAATAGTGTACATAATACCTCATCTCAGAAATATAGACAGATACTGAAAGGCCGAAACGTTGTGATAAATATGGTGACAAAGATGAGGACAATAGTCCGAATAATGTAAATAGTGTACATAATACCACATCTCAGAAATATAGACAGATACTGAAAGGCCGAAACGTTGTGATAAATATGGCGACAAAGATGAGGACAATAGTCCGAATAATGTAAATAGTGTACATAATACCTCATCTCAGAAAATAGACAGATACTGAAAAGGCCGAAACCCAGTGATAAATACGGCGACAAAGATGAGGATAATAGTCCGAATAATGTAAATAGTGTACATAATACCACATCTCAGAAAATATAGACAGATACTGAAAGGCCGAAACGTTTGTGATAAATATGGCGACAAAGATGAGGACAATAGTCCGAATAATGTAAATAGTGTACATAATACCGCATCTCAGAAATATAGACAGATACTGAAAGGCCGAAACGTTGTGATAAATATGGCGACAAAGATGAGGACAATAGTCGAATAATGTAAATAGTGACATAAGACCTCATCTCAGAAATATAGACAGATACTGAAGGCCGAAACGTTGTGATAAATATGGTGACAAAGATGAGGACAATAGTCCGAATAATGTAAAATACATAATACATCTCAGAAATATAGACAGATACTGAAAGGCCGAAACGTTGTGATAAATATGGCGACAAAGATGAGTACAAAGTCGAATAATGAAAATAGTGTACATAACCTCATCTCAGAAATATAGACAGATACTGAAGCCAAAACGTTGTGATAAATATGGTGACAAAAGATGAGGACAATAGTCCGAATAATGTAAATAGTGTACATAATACCTCATCTCAGAAATATAGACAGATACTGAAAGGCCGAAACGTTGTGATAAATATGGCGACAAAGATGAGGACAATAGTCCGAATAATGTAAATAGTGTACATAATACCACATCTCAGAAATATAGACAGATACTGAAAGGCCGAAACGTTGTGATAAATATGGCGACAAAGATGAGTACAATAGTCCGAATAATGTAAATAGTGTACATAAGACCTCATCTCAGAAATATAGACAGATACTGAAAGGCCGAAACGTTGTGATAAATATGGCGACAAAGATGGGGACAATAGTCGAATAATGTAAATAGTGTACATAAATACATCTCAAATATAGACAGATACTGAAAGGCTGAAACGTTGTGATAAATATGGCGACAAAGATGAGGACAATAGTCCGAATAATGTAAATAGTGACCTCATCTAATAATACCGAAACGTTGTGATAAATATGGTGACAAAGATGAGGACAATAGTCGAATAATAAATAGATCTCAGACATATACTGAAAGGCCGAAACGTTGTGATAAATATGGCGACAAAGATGAGGACAATAGTCCGAATAATGTAAATAGTGTACATAATACCGCATCTCAGAAATATCTCTGAAAGGCCGAAACGTTGTGATAAATATGGCGACAAAGATGAGTACAATAGTCCGAATAATGTAAATAGTACATAAGACCTCATCCAGAAATATAGACAGAACTGAAAGGCCGAAACGTTGTGATAAATATGGTGACAAAGATGAGGACAATAGTCCGAATAATGTAAATAGTGTACATAATACCACATCTCAGAAATATAGACAGATACTGAAAGGCCGAAACGTTGTGATAAATATGGCGACAAAGATGAGGACAATAGTCCGAATAATGTAAATAGTGTACATAATACCGCATCTCAGAAATATAGACAGATACTGAAAGGCCGAAACGTTGTGATAAATATGGCGACAAAGATGAGGACAATAGTCCGAATAATGTAAATAGTGTACATAAGACCTCATCTCAGAAATATAGACAGATACTGAAAGGCCGAAACGTTGTGATAAATATGGTGACAAAGATGAGGACAATAGTCCGAATAATGTAAATAGTGTACATAATACCACATCTCAGAAATATAGACAGATACTGAAAGGCCGAAACGTTGTGATAAATATGGCGACAAAGATGAGTACAATAGTCCGAATAATGTAAATAGTGTACATAATACCGCATCTCAGAAATATAGACAGATACAGTGGTGAGATGTAAACTCCACTCGGGCAACCTCTTCCCATAAACCGCTACAAAGAAGACAATCTAATCTTAGCTTGTTCAAGTCTAAAGTTAACCATTATTTTCTCCACATATCCACATAAACAGTGCCCTTCTACCTAGAGATGCTTTTGGAGAATGCAAAGGATGATCATTATTGTAAGAATTACTTAAAATAGAGGAAATTGAATAAAGTCTATCCGTTCTCAACAAAATATTTATGTTGAGAATGAATGTTCTCGATAATTTGAATAACTCTGTAAAAAAAAAAGCAACTCTTCCGTGCACACAAGAGCTTTATTTGTGGAGGCGGATGACAATTTGTGCCAAACTAATGTCTTTGGACTTTCCCTTAGAATTTCTAGATTGATTTATTGAGATGAACTCGGATAAGAATTCAAAGAAAAGACCAGCTGCACAATAACACATAACCTGTTGGCTTTCTCGGGGTCTGCGTTGCACCTTATCAAATCAAAGAGCGGACTCAAATCACCCCAGAAAAATTCCTTACTGCACAATCCATCAAGCTGAAGACATGTAGCAATCGTTTTTACATCTGTACTTAATAACCCAAGTACTAATTTGTTTACAAATTAACAAAAAAAATGGTACACAAGTTACATATACCTGGGTCTGCAAAAAGAATTAAACATACCAGTAATTCTAGAGCATGCGTTTTTTTTTTTATTTTTATTCGAGTCGATTGGTACACACTTCATTCTTCTGGGTTTCAGTCTGGGGAAGATTTGAAAAATACTTATTTTGCCATTTTCGAAATTAAAGTTGTGAAGATCTTTAACAGATTGCACTAGACAGTGATACTCACTGGGTGTCATGTTAGATTCATGTAAATGTGAAATATTCAACTTAGACTTATCTATCTAACTATCTATCTATCTATCTTTTGTAATTTCTATCTATCTATCTATCTATCTTTTTCTGATTTTTTTTTCTTTCTTTCTATGACTTTTGTAATTTTCATCTATGTATCTATCTATGTATCTATCTATGTATCTATCTATCTCAGGCTGTTCATCTATCTATCTTTTGTAATTTCTATCTATCTATCTATCTTTTGTAATTTCTATCTATCTCTCTCTCTCTCTCTCTCTCTCTCTATCTATCTATCTATCTTTTTCTGTTTTTTTTTCTTTCTTTCTATGACTTTTGTAAATATCATCTATGTATCTATCTATGTATCTATCTATCTCAGGCTGTTCATCTATCTATCTATCTTTTGTAATTTCTATCTATCTATCTATCTATCTATCTATCTATCTATCTATCTTTTGTAATTTCTATCTATCTCTCTCTCTCTCTATCTATCTATCTATCTTTTTCTGTTTTTTTTTTCTTTCTTTCTATGACTTTTGTAATTTCCATCTATGTATCTATCTATGTATCTATCTATCTCAGGCTGTTCATTTATCTATCTATCTATCTATCTATCTATCTATCTATCTATTTTGTTTATTTCTTTCTCTTTCTCTTACCTTCTTGCTTTCTTTCTTTCCTTCTATGATTTTTATACTACCTTTCTTTCTTTCTTTTAATGTGTCTATCAATCTATCTATCATTATTTTGTTTCTTTCTTTTTATTTCTACCGTCTGCGTTTTATAATTCTTTCTTTTTTCTTTCTTTTTGTTTCTTTTTGTCTCTTTCTTTTTCTTTCTTCTATGATTTTTCGAATTTCTTTCTTTCTGTCTACACTTATATTTGTTTGTTTCTTTCATTTTCTTTTTTTTTCTTTTTCTCTGATTTGTTTTGTAAATTCATTGTTTTTTTCTTGTTTTGTTTCTTGATTTCTTTCAAAGCCCCTTCATCTTTCTCTGTTTACTTTTCTTATCGTTTCTCTCGTTTTCTCTTTTTCATGACTTCTCTGTTTCTTCAGTTTTCTTATCTTTTCTCTTTCACTATATTTCTAGTCTTCTGCTTCATTTCTTTGTTACTTCAGTTTTATTGTTCTTTTTCTTTTTTTTTCTTTCTCTTTTTCTGAGTCTTTCTCCAGTTACCTTATTTTAACTGTCTTCACATTCTTTCTCTCTTTTTCTCAATATTTCTAATCTTTTCTCATTCTTTCTCTTTTTTTCTAAATCTTTCTTACCTTTTCTCATACTTGCCGACGTTTTCACATTCCTTCTCACTTTTTCCCAATTTTTATTATATTTTCTCATTCTTTCTTTTTCTCATTCTTTTTACGTTTTCTCATTCTTTTTCTCTTTTTCTCATTCTTTCTTACCTTTTCTCTTTCTTTCTCTCTTTTTCTCATTCTTTCTTACCGTTTCTCTTTCTTTCTCTCTTTTTCTCATTCTTTCTTACCTTTTCTCTTTCTTTCTCTCTTTTTCTCATTCTTTCTTACCTTTTCTCTTTCTTTCTCTCTTTTTCTCATTCTTTCTTACCTTTTCTTTTCTTTCTCTCTTTTTCTCATTCTTTCTTACCTTTTCTCTTTCTTTCTCTCTTTTTCTCATTCTTTCTTAACTTTTCTCATTCTTTCTCTCTTTTTCTCATTCTTTTTTACCTTTTCTCATTCTTTCTCTCTTTTTCTCATTCTTTCTCTCTTTTTCTCATTCTTTTTTACCTTTTCTCATTTTCTTTTCTTTCTCTCTTTCTTTCTTTTTATTTCTATCTTTCTTTCTTTCTTTTCCTTTCTTTCTGCCTTTTTCTTTCTCTCTTTACTTTTCTTTCTTTCTTTTTCTTTCTTTCTTTTTCTTTCTTTCTTTTTCTTTCTTTCTTTCTTTACTTTTTATTTCCTTCCTTCTTTCTTTCTTTTTCTCTTTTCTCTTTCTTTTCTGGTATGACAACTGTCAAACAATAGATAGCCTGGTAAGATAATCTTGCATGCCATTGGTCAATATTCTGAATTCGCTAGGAAATATTTTAAAAGTGACTGAAAAATATGACACTAAAATAGGAAGGCGTATGGAGAAGCCAAAGTTTCATTGCAAAAGCAAAGCAGACTAGTATGAAATACAAAAATCTTCACTAGAAACAAGGAAAAAGTTACTAAACTGTCACATGATATCTGTCATCCTGTATGACAAGGAGCAATCTCCTCAAAGATGAGACTTCAAGAAACAGAAATGTGGTTCTACAGATGGATGCTGAGGATACCATGGACCGAACATGTGAGAATTGATGCAGTTTTAGAAAAAATGGAAACAAAAATAGAAACTTACTTAACATTAAAAAGTGACAGTTATGGTTTGTAGGAAACATAATGAGTAAAGGGAGCTTGGAAAATCTGATACTCACAGGACAGATTGGAGGCAAGGGGAACAAAGGAAAACAACGCATGACATATTTAGTGAGCTTGATAAGTGGATGGTGGAACAGGGTTTAGGAAAGGTAAGAGAAAAACAAAGGAAGTTGTGGAGAGCCATGATTGTCTACGTCTTAAGGGAACACAGCACATAAAAAGATGCAGGAGTAAGCTATGGTTAGTAAATATATACTTACATAATGATTGTAGAGATATGAGGTTAATGTAACGAGTTCGAAGTTTGGCTCAAGTTACTGGTGTTTATTTTGTACAAAGACTATTGGAGATGAATCCGTTTTACTGTTTTCTGATGTATTGCCAGTTATGCAAATCTTATCGCTTGAATGCCAAGTTAGTTATCAGAGATGACTATAGAAGAGTAAGCTTTTCGGCAAACCACTTCGCAAGGAATTTACAGTGTATATCATTTACTCTACTTGACACGTGATATTCATATAAGACAAATATTGCTACCAAACGAGATCACTCCGAAAAGTATACACCCACTAATTATTAACAAAAAAGGCCTGCCTAGGGCACTTTTTAAAATTACCACTGTGATGGTGTCACGGTGGAATTCCAGTCGAATCCATCACATTCACTTACATTGCTAATACCTTTGGGAAAGGTATGAATCCTCTTCTTCTCCACCCCCCAACTATGGATAAATAGCAGGACAAAAAGGGTGGCAACTGGTCTACCACAGAAAGAAATGACAACCTACTACGAGGAAAAAAATCTAACTCGTCAGTCATATATCGAAAGATACATGATCGTCTAAGCCCCTATTACGTATGGCATATAACTAGCTGATGATGTCACTCACTTATCCCGGAATTCTTTGCACTTTTCAAAACAGAACTCAAATTTCGGAATCACCATCAGTTCAATTATCCAATTTATGTACTCCATGAATGGCCGCTGGGAAATCTTGCAGAGCGCCAACTCGGATATTCAGGCCGGTAGACGAACGTATATTAAATACACTGTTGACTAAATAAACTGAGCGTCTATTCAAGTATGGGTATCCAGTAAAAATAACGTTTAAGTAATAAAATCGGTCAGATTAAGAAATAAAAATCTATCACTTCTTTAGAAATTGCTTTGTTTACGTTAGGATACGGAACTGAGCAGATATGTACATTTCAATAGTCCGGGAAAGATTTGCGTTTAAAGGCACTATTCATTTTTGCTTGATCATTGGCGCACTTCGTGGCTAAGTGATCTGATGTACGTCGGATCTATCGACAGTTTCCCTTCTCCAAGGTGTTTAGTTTCCATGCCTACCGGAGAGTGCATATTTTTCTTTAATAAGATTTCCCGAATATTCAGGCCCATAAACGAAAATAAATAAATATACGGTTTTATAAATAAATTGAACGTCTATTTAAATATGGGTATCCACTAAAAATTACGTTTAAGTAATAAAATCTGTTGGATTAATAAATTAAAACTTGTCACTTCTTTAGAAATTGCTTTGTTTACGTTAGGGTACAAAACTAGGCAGATATGAATGTTTCGAGAGTTTAAGGAAGATTTTGCGTTTTTAAGGTACTATTCAGCTTTGGCTTGATCACCAACGCATTGACATTCCTTCTATTTTGATTCTCAATTTTTCGAGAATTTAGGCAAAATGAATTACAAGAATTTAAAAATGACATGACAGATGCAAATGGAAACTGTAAGTATATACATGTGGACATAGTTGAAAGTGTAATTCTTTATTGTTAACATTTCAGTCTTTGTTCTATATATTGATGCTACACGATCTTCTTATACAAGAAGTTCTCAGGACGCTTATACTAGAGATAAACTCTACGTAAGAAAATGTACTAGCCACTCTATCTATCGTCTGGTAATATCTATCTATAAAGTTCTTAGAGATAGTGCGTTCAGATCTTCTGAAATTAGATTTGTAGAAAATTATAGTTGTCCCAGAAAGAAAAACAGAAACATCATACCGTATACTATTCTATTCAATCAATTAGTTCATACTAAATTTGGACATGAATTTTTAAAATTAATTGATAGACATTTTCCTAAAAATAGTTCTTTAAGTAAAATTTTCAATCGGAACACTCTAAAACTTAGTTATAGTTGTACTAATAATTTAGAAAAAATAATTAAATCACATAACAATAAAATATTAAATTTATATAACAATAACAACCATAATACTAATGCTGATCTTAATTTATCCCGTATAAATAACCTATGTAGTTGTGGAAATACCAACCATTACCGGTTATCTAACAAGTGCTTAACAAAATCCCTTGTGTGTATGTGTTCTATTTCATAAGTTGAAAATCCGAGAGTTTCTGAGAGAATATATATTCTGAGAGAATGTATATTCTGAGAGAATATATATTGGAAGTACAATGAATCATTTTAAAAAAAACGTTTCTTTAACCATCTCTCATCCTTTAATAATGCGGATAATCGAAATATGACTTCACTTTCTAAATATTTTGGGGAATTGAAAGACGAGAATAAAACACCTCAAGTTAAATGGAAAATTCTAAAAATAGCTAAAATCTATAGATCGTTGAACGAACCATGCTTCCTTTTTCTAACAGGGGGGAAATGGAAATAATTAAGTAATTGAATAGTGACATTTTATTGAACCAAAGATATGAAACAGCGGTAAGACCTTGCAATCCTGTTAAATTTCTTTATTCAATAAACAATCTTATGTTTATTATTTTTATAATCATTTCAATGTCATCGTTAATTCATTCTAGTTTTAGGTATTATATTGGTTAATATTTCTAATTTACTTGTAGTATTATTAGCCATAAATTAGCTGTTTGTTTTAATTCTTAATTTTATATTTATTTTTATTTTTAATTTAATTTTATTTTTCTGTTGCTGCTTTAATAATAGTTTCTAATTTTAAATTAACATAATATTATAATGTTTAAAATCTATTTTGTACTGTATTTTATAATGTAAGATCGATTTAGTTAAGTATTGTATTGCTTCTTAAGTATCCTTTTTTATATTATATGGATAATATTGTTTGAATATATGATTTCATATAAAATGCCATAAAATTTGAAATACGACATTGTTAAAAAGTGTATCTATTTACGCCACATTTCCATTCAAATTTGAATTCTCTTATTCAACGTAATTTCATTGGCTTAATTCGTATCAACATCTTTCAATACACCACCTTCTTAACTTTCCTCTTCCTGTGTATCTGTGTAATTTTGAATATACTTCTCTATTTCTTTAGCCTTTCTCCTTTCTCTTGGTAGTAGCGTTAATTAATTATGTTTTCGCTTGACTTTCATTTCTTTCTTTTTCTTTTATTGATTTCTTCTTTTCTTTTCTTTTTCTTTATCTTAATCCTTTTTACCTTTATATGGTAATTTTTCCAAAAATGGAAAATGAAGTGATATTTCAATAATTGCAATTTTAAATAAGATTGTTTATTACCATCATAGTTAACCACATCAAGACACGTTTATTTTAAACGTTGAAACGGAATGTACAATTTTATAGTGGATACTTACATGTTCTAATATAACAGTGTATAATAAATGTTTCTCTCTCTCTCTCTCTCTCTCTCTCTTTATATATATACATATATATATATATATATATATATATATATATATATATATATATATATATATAAAAAGAAATATAGTTTTTAAGATGTGCTATATTTATGGGATAAAGTGCTCCATATCAGAGATAGAGCCTACGTAAATAAATATATAAAAGTGAACATTGAAGTCAACACACAGAGGTGAGAGACAGTTTAATGCTAGGGGCACTCGTCAGGTGGCCTGACGATTGCGTCTAGCATTAAACTGCTTATATACACACACACACACACACACACACACACACACACACACGCGCGCACACACACATATATGTGTGTGTGTCTGTGTGTGTGTATGATAGAAATTGTTATGAGGATTTGAAATAATTATAATTAAGTAATTCATCGAGTCTAGAAGAAACCTCAACAGAATGCAGGCGGCCTAACTATTGCGTCAAGCAGTAAACAGCCTGTCGCCTCTGAGTGTTGACTTCAATGTTCACACACACACACACACACACACACATATATATATATATATATATATATATATATATATATCCATCTGCTTTTATTTATCTTTTTTAGTGACTAAGAGTTTCTGTGTTTGCATTCGCTGTCAGCAATCGATTTTAGCGCCAAAGCAAAAACAGGGAAATCGAATACTAAATTTTTAAGCAGGCAAGTTCACGCCATTTGCAGAATTGGTACAACCATTGGTTTGCTTCAGGCGGAAGCAATAAAACTCAATAAGTTCAAAAGGCAGTATCGCGCCATCTATCTGTATCAGTGCATAAATATTAAGTAAATCTGTTTATTGATTATGAATCCAAAGCCTTATCTGACATGAATTTACTAAATCAATACATAAACTGTTCACACAAACACACACATAAACACACACACACACACACACACACACACACACACACACACACACACACACACATATATATATATATATATTTATATAATTTAATTTATATTCTAATATTTTTAA